CCCTCGTTCTATCTTCTGAACTTGTGCTTCTTTATGATACAACTGCACCTTCATATTTACATATGTACAAAGGACTACAGTTGAAATTCTGAGTAGCCAAAAGAAGTATAACAATAAAAATAATGATACCATCATAAAATGCATTTCTATGGGCCTCTACTCTCCTTCTACATTACCCCTCCCCCCATACACGACAAGCAGCAGAGGCACTAAGGAAAAGAGAAGATGTGAACCTGTAATCAAAGACTGCGTAAATATATGGCAATTGAGAGGAGAAGAATTAAAGGTAGCCATGGCAACCTGACATTTTCTAACTTTAAGAACATAACCTTAATAACATTATTGTAGTATTTCTGGATGTAACAGGTATTTCAAAAGCATGCACACACATACACCCCATCACCTCCCCCTATTAGAGTCTATTCATATTCCGACACAGCCCTTGCCACTCTAGTATCTCGGTATATTCCAGGAAAACACTGGGGCTATGTCTAGACTGCAAGCCTCTTTCGAAAGAGAGCGTCTAGACTGCACGGAGAAATTTCGAAAAAGCGGCTTGCTTTTTCGAAAGAAAGCATCCAGTGAGTCTGGATGCTCTCTTTCGAAGAAGCCCTATTTACATTGAAGAACGCCTTCTTTCGAAAGAGGCACTTTCGAAAGAAGGCGTTCTTCCTCGTAAATTGAGGTTTACCGCCATCGAAAGAAAAGCCGCATTCTTTCGAATTAATTTCGAAAGAACGCGGCTTGAGTCTGGACGCAGGGGAAGTTTTTTCGGGAAAAGGCTACTTTTCCCGAAAAAACCCCTGAGTCTGGACACAGCCTGGGAAAGTGGTTCTTAATCTTTTTCTCTCTCAGGCCTCCACAATATGCTATAAAAACTTCACAGCCCACCTGTGCTGCATCAAGCGTTTTTCTGCATAGAAAAGCCAGGTCCAGTCTTAGGGGGTAGCAAGCAGGACAATTGCCGGGGCTCCATGCTACAGGGGGGCCCTGAAACGCTACGTTGCTCTCACTATCGCTCCAGCCCCCAGACGGCAGAGCAACTTCCTGGCTTCAGCACTGCATGGTAGTGCTTCAGCTTCCTGCCCTCCATCCCAGCTCTGCCTGGTGGTCCCCTTGACACCTTGTCAGCTCCTTACTCCAGGCTAGCTCCGCCCACGAGAGAGGAGGAAGCTGGAACAAGAGGGCGGAGCATTTTCAGTGAGGCAGTAATGACAATCCCTGCTGTGGCATTGGCTGCCTGCAGCGCTGATCCTCTGCCTCTGGGAACTCTAGCGTACAGCTGGAGCTCTTCTGGGATGGGGTCAAACCAGGGCAGCATGCACCCTGCCACGCAACAGGGCTCAGACCCAGCTGAACACGGGCTCAGACCTTGGGGCCCACCCTTAGGTTACAACAATCAGTTTGTGGGTGCGAGGAAGGTTTGGCTTGAGCCCTGGTTTCCATTGCTGTATCGACATCCCTGAAGGGCCCTAAACTCAGCCCTGCAGCCTCCCCTTGCAACACATGGCAAACTGCAAAACTGTTTCTTCCTTCTGCTGTCCCTACTTCTCACCCGTGGGGCTTAGCTCTGGCATCCTCTGCTCCCCTGTGGGCCTTGAGAAGGCTGAACTAACATACTGCTTTCAACATAAACTCACGGGGTAAGCGTTAAACATTCACCTACTCAATGTATCTGAGAGTCATCCCCAGGGGCGCCACCTCTGGGATGCACAAAGCTGGGACTTGAGCCTAGTCCCATAAAACTGGACAGCTGGCAGCATGTGCGGAGCACAGATTTCCCAGGACAGCTTCCAGAAAAAGGTGAGAGGGAAAACCTGGAGCGGTGACAACTCAGGCTCTCCTGCTGGTGGGCAATCGGACCAGACACTTGCCAGGCCAGCCGCTTGAAAGCCATTGGGCCTGGAGGACAAGGAAAGCAGAACGAGGGACTGGACAGCTGGAGCCCGGGAACCTGGCAGCTGAGTTCAGGTGGTGAGTGTGAAATGACGGCAGCGCCTGCGCACAAGCCAAAACGAATTTGCTGATGATGGAAATTATGAGCAATTATTCAGTCCGCTAATTTTAAAAAAACAACAACAGTTTTTGGAAAGTTGCCAGCTTCCTCGTTTAGCTTCATTTCCCCTCACGTTGGGCCTGCGTGAGTCTCCGATCCCTAGTTCCTAGCGCCGAGAGCTCTCCTTGATCTTGCTTCCGTTGTTCTCTGCACTTGACGAGAGGACACCGAGACGTGGCACTGCAGTCTCCCTTTGTCCTGGAGAGGGTTCTAAGAAGCTCTGCCTTCCAGGAGGGGTGTCTGAGAGGGAAGCCGAATTCTTGTCCAATTGTCCCCTAGGGTTTGGTTAAACTGGCAAGGAGGTTTGTGTTTCCTGCTTCACTACTCTTCCTTTCCCTTAGTGCTACTGTACATACTCGCGGCTGTGTGATCCCAGGGGACTGTTCACTGTCCTTATAGCAGAAGTGGTAAAGCTATCGCTGTAATACAGCACTTCTATGATAGCATTAGTTATGAAGAATGATCCAAAACAAACAAAAATCCATGAGTCTGATATCCGCTTTTGTCCTGTGTCAGCAGGACAGTATCTCATAGGGGATGTTCTTTTAAATCAAAGCAATTTAAATCACAGATTGTTAATGTTGGTTTAAATCAGAAAGCAAGACGCCTATTAAATGACTAAATTTAGCCTTATTGGCTTGCACTGGTTTTTAAATGCACAGCATACAGTGTATGACTAGAGAGACCGTGTAGGGTAGAGGGTGGTTTCCAGCCAGGGGGCCTGGAGCAGATTTCGGAGAGTCCACCAATCCATTAGATTCAATAGGGACCAAAGAAGAAAGCCAAAGCTGCCCTGGACTGCAGCCCAGGGCTGAAGGCAAAGCCTGAGCAGCTTCGCAGTGCCCCTGTGGCCCTGGGCAGTTGCCCTGTGTAAGTGGGGGAATGGTCCCGCTATTGTGGGGAACTTTCCTGGCTTCTATACACCCCGGTGAAATGAACCAGCGAAAGGATCTGAGTCCCCGCTCCCACTTCCTTTACCCCACGGCTCCCTGATCCTGAGGGCTCCCCCTCCACTCTCCAGAGTAGCAGAGCTGTTGAAACCCCAACAAGGCTGGGCCCAGGTTTCCTGGGGCTTAATCCCCGACCTTGTAGTCACTAGGGGCAGGAGTTAGGGTGTCCCCACTCCGAGGTGCTCTCTGCACACTGCAGGCCTTCTTGGCCCAGTGATCACTTCATAAGGTTCAAAGCAAATACAATTTATTAAATATCAACTGATTAGAGAGAAAAGAATAAGAAACAATGAGAATGGTTAAATGAGAACACACAGCCCTGCTCTGTAGCACGGGGACATCACAAACAGCAGTCTGCAGAGTGTAAGGATAGTTCACAGTCTGTCTTAGAGTCTCCCTGAATGTGCTGCAGGGGGGCTACAGGCTGGACACGTTAGCTCTGGTAGAGGGGGGGGGGGTCTGCAGGCTGGACATGCTTGCTCTGGCAGTGACCACACAGCCTCAAGCTCTAAGTGGCCAAACCCCTCTCCCAGTCCAGAGCCTCTCCCCACACTTTGCAGTTCCCAGCTGCTCACCACATCCAGCTGCAGGGTGCTGCTTGGCCAGTCTCTAGCTCCTTGCGTTGCTTCTCTGTTCCTTTTGGCTCTCTGAGCACTGCCAGTCTGCTGCTCAACACAGGGTCTGCTCTCCTTGGGCCGTGTGTGTCAGGCTCAGCTGCTGCAAAAACTGCCCCTCAGCACACAGCTTGCCCCCCCTTGGGCAGTCTCTCAGCTCTCTGTTTGCTCAGAGAGAGCCAGAACAATCCCAGCTCACAGGGAGGACAGGTCCTGGCCTCTTGCTTTTCTCACTGGCCTGTCCAACTTGTCAATCAGGCTAAGCTGGAGTGTTGGCTGCTGTCCATTGTCTTTGGGGTCTGTCAGTCTCATGGACCCTTCCCCTGTTGACACTGGGAGCTGGCAAGCCAAAAAACTCCCACAGAGTTTAAGTAAGGGGTAACAGTCCCCTTACATAAGCACTGCTGAACAGGCACCATCCAGGTAAGCCTAAGCCCCCAGCACAGTGCCACCTCCTGCACCCTAAACCCCACCCCAGCCCACCAGAGCCTGTACCACCTTCCCCATGCCATCCCTCAGCCCTGTGCTGGTAACGCCTCCTACATCCCAACCCCCAGCCTTGAACCCCTCCCCAAATCTGAAGCCCCCTCTTGCATCCCAAACCCCTCATCCTCAGGCCCACCCCAGAGTCCTCACTCTCTCCTGCACCCCAACACCCAGCCTCCACTTGTAGCCCCCTCCTGTATTCCAAGTCCCTCGGCCCCACCCCCAAGCCTGGAGCCCCATGCTGCACACCAACCTTCTGTCCCAGCCCTGAACCCCTTATCCCCAGACCCACCCCCAGCCAGAGCCCTTCAACACCAGCCCTGTGTCCTAGCCTTAAGTCCCTCATCCTCGGCTCCAACCTAGAGCCCACACCTCCAGCCAGAGCTTTCCCACACCTGCCATCCTATCCTCTACCCCAAGCCTGAGCCCCTTCCCACACTCAGAAACCATTGGCCCCACTCCTACCACATGTATTTTGTAATGTGCACCAATATGCACACCACCTCCAGGTCACACATCACCTTCACCTCCACACTGGTGCACATAACAAAATTCATTCTGCTCAGGGGTGTGAAAAATGAGAGAGAACACAGCGGATAGATACGGCTTGTCTCCACTTTGCTGGAGGTCAGTTCTGCAGCGATCAATCCACCGGCCATTGATTTATCACATCTGCTTAGCACTCTACGTGCTCTCGTACTCCACCGGGACGAGAAGAGTAGCCAGCATCGATAGGAGAGCAGCCCCCGCTGACCTCACTGCACACCAGGCACTGCGGTAAGTACATCAGCTTCAGCCTTGCTATTTGCCTAGCCGGAGTGATGTAGATTACATCGATGGTGGGGGTTAGTATCGACCAGGCTGTAGAGCAGAGAGGTCATTCTCTCTTATCTGGTTGCCTGTAGCTTGCACTGCTGATGAAAACAGGGTTAAACACTATTAAGCAATATTTTTATATCATAGCATGCAAAGCCTTTTCCAGAACTTTGTTCATCAATTACCTGTCCTAGAAAATGAAAAGCCAGTGTTTCAAACTGCCAGAGGCTTAACATAATGATTGACTGTTGTTGCTTTTAGTCAGCAGAAGTAACAAATTGTTTGTCCATTTATTCTCTGACAGGACAGACTGCTGGAGCTTGAATGGCATTTATACTCAATCAAATACTAATGCTGATGGAGAACTTTGGGTTTCAGTGATTCTTGATGTGCCCTACTGGGGCACGGAGAACTCTTATCACCTCCTAATGTGCAAGCTGCATAATGAATCTGAAAGACTTTTGTACTCATTGTGGCTTTTCCTCTTCATCTTGCCAATCCTAGCATTGCAGAGACAGTTCCTTGAAATGATAAATTGCATAAACGCATTGTTTCCAATTGGCACTTTACTGGTCATTTCTTAAGGCCATTAACTATGAAAAACAGAACTCGTGTGGCGATCACTTTTACAGAAAGGATTCTGATAGCACAAGTACAAGTTTGATGTAAGCAACTTACAGATATTCCAGAATTTACAACTAAAGAGTAACAAATCATTTTCTATAGTCATGGGTATGTCTAAGGTTAGGTATAAAAAGGTTTATGTTTTACTATCTGAAAAAAGTTCAAATTTTAAAAATGACTTATTTGAAATGGTAGAATTGACCATGGGATATAATGAATACAGTACATCTCCCTCTTCACCCCATAGCTAACTTTTAAAATTCTTAATCCACAGCACAAGTTAATATTTTACAAAAAGATGATAATCAAATGGTTGATTATTTCTGTATAAAATGCACAGGCTTTGGTTTCTTTCATTTTATATACAATGCACACTGGCCAATATATGGTCTACTGTAGGATAGACTGGATTATTAAACTACAGAGTAGTGAGTATACTGGATTTATGATTTTCATCAAGAACATTTTGCAACATAATTATAACTAGGTCAGAGGATGCTTAGAAAATTACAGCACTGGAGCTTTTTAAAAAGATCTATAAAAATTTGTTGATATTTGCTTCTAAGTTCTAACAAATACTTTGATTACATTACGCATACCACACCTGGCCCTCAACTTTGGGCTATCATCCAGTTTCCTATGGCTATGTTTAGACTGCAGAGGATTGCATCTGCTTTTCCGAAAAAAATGTCAGAAAAGCGGATACTTTTTTTGGCATCTCTGTAAACTTTGTTTTACGAGGAAGAAGGGGTGTTCCGAAAGAGGTTTTTTCCCAAAATTTGACCCCATGTTGACGGCCCAAATTTTGGAAAAGCCTCTTTCGGAAGTAAATCGGAAAAAGATACGTTTCTTTTTCCGATTTATCTTTGTAGTGTAGACATATCCTATGAAACAAGAGGAAATCCATTTTGGCCATATCTACACTAGGAAACTATTTCAAAATTACTAAATTCGACTTAAGAACTCCTAATTTAACACATTCAAACTAGAGTGTCCAAACTACCCAGAAGCATTGAAATTCATCCGAGGAAGCCTCTGTTAATGGGGACTCAAATTCAGAGCCCCAGGAAGCACTCTGGAGATGTGTGGGAGGCCTCCCGGAGGCCAATAAATTCAAACTAGCAGTACTGGAGCGTCCACACAGTTCTTTCAAAATTACTATTTCAGAATTAGCATTACTCAACGTGAAAAGCAGGAGTACAGAGTTCAACATCCGCGGCTTGTTATTTCAAAATAATGGGCTTGGTAGTGTCGATGAACCGCTTATAAATTCAAACTTGGGGGAGGGGAGTTAGGAATAAGGTCCTAGTGTAGGGCTTTGAAACTGAAGTTGTACTGTGACATAATGACACTAAAAAACCTGCCAATTTAATTAGCATTTTTCGCTACATCATGAAGATAGCATACCTGAAGGAATTTTCTTAGAAAATATAAGTTACTTCCCTTTTATTTTGTTTATTTGAAATTGCAATCTATTAATCTAATTGCACACCCAGACTTTTGAACCAAGTATGTTAATTGATTACATGTTTCCTCTTTGGCATTCCTTTTAAGAAGTATAACACAGCTAATGTGTAATCAGAGCTACCGGAATAGAATGTGTTCAAAAGAGGAGTTCAAACACATACAGGACAAATACAACTAACTGCAATGTGAATTTCTAATTGACAGTGCAAGACATTACTTTAAGGCTTCAGTCCTGTACATACTTGAACATGTACTTAAATTTAAGCACATGAATAGTCTCTATAAAGTCAACCTATTACAGGTTGAACCTCTCTAATCCGGCACCCTTGGGACCTGACCAGTTCCGAATGAGAGAATTTTCCAGACGAGGGGAGGTCTATATTGTTTAGCAGCATTACCAACACTTACACTGCTTACTGGATTGTAAGAAGACAAATTAGAGCTAAATGACAGCACAGAACACTGAGAGCTAGGACTGGTGGCTGTAAACAAACTTTATGGGAAACGTGGCCACACCCATGAAAAGTAGACATCTGGGTAACTAAAATCATTCTGGATGACGGATGTTTCCAGACTAGTGAGTTTTGGACTAGAGAGGTTCAACCTGTCTTATAGTTTGTTTGTGGGTGGGGCAGGTTTGTTTGCATATGTTCTATATTTATTGCTATATTATGAAAGTTGGGGGAAAATGAACCTTTTACATGAGGTTCACTAGCTGTCTGTCTGTGTACTTATATGTCCTTCCTCACCACAGCATCTGGGTATAGACACACCTCCGTAAAGCTTTTGGCTAAGCAAAACTTTAGGTTTGTGCAATCTGTGCTAAAGAGAAATTGCTCAGTCCATCTACCCTCCCAGTCAGTGGCACACACCAAAGCCTCTAAGGACATGTCTACATTAGGAAACTATTTCAAAATAACTTATTTCAAAATAGTAACTCCCGAAATAATAATTTCAAAATAGCGTGTCCACACTATGGGGAAGCCTCAAAATTAATCTGAGGCAAGTTCCACTATTGTGGATGTGCTAACTCAACTTTGTGCCCCAAGAAGCTCTGGGGAGTAATTAGTTTGAATGATTCTCAGAAGTAGTTATTTCGAAATAGCAGCAGTGGAGCATCCACACTACCGCTATTTTGAAATAACATATGCAAAATGAGCATTATTCCTTGTGGAAAGCAGCAGATATTTCGAAATAACCAGCCTCTTCTTTCGAAATAACGGGCTTGGTAGTGTGGACACCCACTTGTTATTTCAAAATAAGACCAGGGCTAAGTGAACTGTTTTCCTTTCTAGTGCAGTATCTTATAACTGTAACTAAACCAAAGGAATTCACTGGAGTGAGTCAAAAAGAAGATTCCAGCTAAAGAATTACACAAAAGATACGTCAGTAAAAATTAAGTTAATTTACACAACGGATAAAAAGAATTGGAAGCAATAATAGAAAAGTAATATAAAGGGTAGATACAGTAAATACCAGTTCCACCATAATAACCTTTGTAGACTATTGAAAGAGCATAGCACCAATACATTCCAATGTCAGTACGTGTCTCAGTAAGCATGAGCTGTGATGAATATGTAAATTTTGGCAAGAAACGTCGTGTATGTTCCTTGACGCCATAATTTCATTTCAACATCTAACAAAAAGTCTTTAGGCTCCTTCACTTGTCGCTGAAGATAGACGATGCCTGTATAGGCATTAAGCTTCCTAGTGCTGAAGTAGTTTTCTTCATTTCCTTTGTTGATGGTGAGGATTATGTTGTCTCCAGCATAGGCAGGTGAAGGTCCAATACGGAAAATATGAGCTGGGACTATGATGTTGGTTTGAAAGTTGAGTTGATAGTAAGTAATTCGCACGGGGGTGTTCTGGCAATCCACATAGTTAAAGCAATTGTTGCGTTCACACCTCCTGAGAAAGTACAAAGAAGGAACGATCAGTTCTCCAGTAGCTTTGAGTTAGACAATGTCCATCTGAGTGATTCACAAGAAGCCTTTGGCATATGTTAGACATGCAGAAAAGCCTCAAGTTTCAACTGCATAACTAATAGGGATGTTAAAAAAATGGATAATTGCGTAACCGTGTAACTGGTGAAAATCTCAGTGGTTACATGCTGTGGGCTCTGCAATATAAAGCTTACACTGCAAAGCCTGCAGTGCAGCCAGCTCCCTAAGAGCAGGGCTACCTGGCTCCACCTGCAGGAAGCCAGCTATGCTTCAGGCTCTGCAGTACAGTAAAACTCCAGTGGTCTGGCATCCAATGGTCCGGCACCATCTGGAACCCGGAAGTGCTCCGGGCAGCCGGACAATTGGGGCTGCTCTGCCCCGGCATCCCCGATTCAGCCACTGTTGAAACTGACCAGTGACTGACTCAGGGAAGCTGGGGGCAGAGCAGCTGGGGTGCTGCCGGGTTGGTCCCACAACGCTGAGGGGTGCATCCCCCCGACTCCACCCCAAGCCCCTCATAGCCCACCCTTCCGATAGTCCAGCATATTTGATAATCCGGCACCCCCTGGGTCCTAAAGGTGCCGGATTATCGGAAGTTTACTGTATAAGTTTTATACTGCAGAGCCTACAGCAGAGGGCGGCAGCTGGCTCCCCGGGGGCTCGTGAGTACCGGAAGCTGGCTTTTAAACTGGTTCCCGTGCGTACAAGCTCCCTCTTGCCAGCCCTGCTCCCTAGACAGCTGCTGCCCTGTGCTGAGGGCTCTGATACAGAGCCTGCAGCACTTGGGGGCAGCAGGCAACCTGGGAGCAGGGTGGCAGCCTGCGTGTAATCATTCATGGTAATCAATAAGTCCAGGCGTACTGGTTAACCGTTGAAATGGTTATACTATTACATCCCTAGTAACTAACAGCAGCTTATTCTGCTTTTACAGTCCCTCTCCCCCAAAACATACGCACAACAGCATACCCAAAACATCTTCCGCCCTGTTTGCAAGCTCCACAGTGAGCATACAGACAGACAGAGAAGTCCTACCGGGTGGAGCCTAATTCTTGGATGAGGAATCAGTGAATCATCAAAATGCAAGACTGGGTCTGTGTGTTATGAAATCCAAAATAATCACATTTCCTGAGGCAGTTGTACTCTCCCCCTCAACAAGTCGGGTGAGCACCAGCCAGACTGCCCAGTCCTAGTTTTTTAAAGAAAGCAATAAAACTACATGGAAGAGGTAAGTGACAGGGATTCTCATTTTGGAGAGGAGGAGAACAGCCTCTGTGATTTCTCAATAGCTCTTTCTGACCCATTCTCCAAGGCCACCCGACATGGCCATTGGCACTGATTGTGGATGGGCATGGCTGCTTTCTGGGCACAGCAGCACCACGGTGCATACAGGGCAAACGAATGCAGGCATTTCCGGGCACTGCCCCGTCAGGTGAATGTGATGGCCCAATCAGAACAAAAGCATGGGTGGGAGTCACAGCTTCCTCTTTAATGGGATCGCTCCTCCATGTGATCAGTGCTTGCGGCAGCTGCTCCAAGGCCCTAGATCATACAACGAACATGAGCATTCCAGCCAGCTGACAACGGCCGTTCCCATTCCGCAGGAAGCGCCAATGTCTCTGTCTCTACAGAAAGGTTCTGAAATGCAACAAAGCCCAACATTTCCGGGGGACTGGAAATTCCAAACTTTCGCACAGAAAAAATGGAGCTGACATTTCTCTTTGATGTTTGTGAAATGTTCCCGAGGGTCCTTGAGTTGCCCGGGACCCTGGCACACCACCAGGTGAAGTGCTAGGCAGCCTAGAAAGCCGAGCTCACAGAGCTTCCAGCCTGCTGAAGAGCCAGGACCCTGGAAGGGACCCTGGAAGACTTCTGCAAGGCTGCTCATGCCAGGTCCGACCAGGCCTAACGCGACTGTTAAAGCACCGCGCTCTAAAGCAGCAGCAACAGGAGTTCACTGGACAGTCCATAGCAGGGAGTGCTTTATAAATACCCTAAGATTAAAACAGTCTGGGGTAGGGGCAGGGAAAGCAGCCAAAGGGAATATATTATGACAATCAGTGAGGACTTACATGTCAGACACTTTCCTGTAGTTTGGAGGGCACTCGAACAACAGGCATCGGTAGCTGCCTTGGATATTGTAGCAAGACTCCGCAGCGGAGCAATTGTGGGTCCCAATTGCACATTCATCAATATCTGGTAATGGAAAACATGAGGAAGATACGCAGTAAATCTAGTGTGCAATCATGAGAGCTGAACCTGAAGATACATACACATGCATGTGTACATGCATGTACACACACACACATCCCAATGTAAAATATGAATCTGAACATGTATGTGTGAATCCCAATGTAAAATATGAATCTGAACATATATGTGTGAACAATTTTATATATACACACACACACACACACACACACACACACACACAGAGTAAAAAGAGAGGCAAGCCTGTGTTTTTGGATCTGAAGAAGGGCTCTAAGGCTGTGTCTAGACTACATGCCTCTGCCGACAGAGGCATGTAGTGTAGACATACCCTAACTGTGACTCTCTGTGGCTGGGAGGGATTGAGTTTGCCAATAAATGGTGACTGTTGCCTACAAGCAAAGATTGTTTACAAAAACAGTGTTGAGTCACAGGACTTGAAATCCACATCCATATTTTGTAGGTCAGGCTCATCTCTCAGACATATACCCAGATACATAGCTCCCACAGTTTTGGAATGGTAGAATAAAATATGCTTATTTAGGTTATCTTAAAATTCAAGTGCGTATTAAAATAGGTTGTGAAAAAAACTGTTTAATTCCCCGTTAGCATTTTAGTATAATTTATTATTTGTTAAAAGCTGACAGCATACAAGAAACAGGAAAGACAAGGGTTCCTGATCTAAGGGGTTTGCAATCTTTCCCTTGTTATCATTTGAGAGCCAGGACTTCCACTGAGATGACCTGGCAGACTCCAACCATCCTGCAAAGATGTGCCTGCCACTTCTGAGCTTGCTTCAGCTTGTTTTTTATCTGCATTTTGCAAATATTTTTACATCTTTAGAGATGCTAAGTTCCGCTGCTCTTACTTCACAGCAAGCAAATCTGATGCAACGCTGGATTCTTTTAACTTCCAGTGGAGAATTAGCAGGAGACAGAAAAGAACTCTGGAAACCAAAGATCCTGCTATCATACCACTGCTTTCGGTAATCAAAACATTCAAAGGTCAAAACAGAAACATAATGATTTAGGCAGAACTACTTCTGCGTTGGTCGGTCATCTTCTCAGTTGCTCACATGGTGTCAGCAGATCTATGATATGAACAATATAGTGAACCAGAATTATTTTGGTCTGCTTCCTCTCTGTCACTAGCAATAATCTAATAGTACATATCTGGTCTGTACTTACAACAAGAAGATCCTCATTAATTTTTTAATGAATCAGACAGATAGATCATGTCAGCAGACTTTGAGAAGCTGCCTACATAATTATTTTGAATATAGAAACTTCATGAACAACAGTTTAAAAGAAGACAGTTTGATCCTAAGTATATATTTAACCTAAAAGTCCTCTATTAATGACAAAAATTGCAGAAAGCAACACAGTTCTAAGGAAAAGTAAAATACAAAGATGCTTCAAGTCACTGGACAGAAACATGGCTACTTGCATAATAAAAATGCATTGTACTAAACCCTGGTCCTAAAAATGCTGAAAACCAGATGCAAAAACAGGGATCCAACATGAGCCGAAAAGATTGGCAGACATCTTGCAGTCACACTGTGCTTTCTCAAATGTCTAGACAACACAAGGAGATTTTAAAATAAAATAAATGTTAACAGACAAAACCGTGCGGATTGTGCAGTGCTCTGTGATTCTTCCAATCATCATAGAGGAGACAGACTCTTAAAGGAAAACCACAGCCATTCCCCCTAAAGATGAGACTTGCTCTTGCAAGCCACACTGGTTTAAAAGTCCAGCAAAAAATATATACCATAGGAAATATAACTAAATTTAAAAAATGAGATCCCTCACTATTACTCAAAACTGGCGAAAGGAGGATTTTTTTTTCTATATTGTAGCCAAGACTCACCGCAGCAGTTTGGCTCTGGTGTGAAATTTGCATAGCTTTTTAAAAACGTTCTCCATGTTGAGGAACTGTCCACAACTCCTTGGTGTGAATTCACAGTGCAGTGAAATTGCCAGCAGAGAAATGCTACAAAGGACAGTACCTTGGTGCTGTGGTGTCCAACACGCTAGTTACTAGCCACATGCGGCTATTTGGCCGGTTGAGTGTGGCTAGTTTGCTACTGCTATAATGGCTGTTACTTCAGAACTGGTCGGACACCACGGCTTTAGTGGCTTTCAGCATAAGGACAGAACAAATGAGAAACATTCATGCCCAGTTCCTCAGCTGGTGTAAATTGATCTAACTTATTTGGATTCATGCCAATTTAAACGAATTGAGGATTTAGACTGTTCTAGAAAGAAATTCATAAGACCATCTTTTTAAAAAGGTCTCTATACACAAGCCTGCAAATTTCTGTGCACATTCTTGACATTACTTAGAAATCGGCATTTGCTCATGGAAACATGCAAGCAAACAGGTACCTAGTCACACATTCACTTCTGTCGCATGGCCCAGTGCCAGTTTCCATGCACAAAATACACGGTTGCCTCTTCCTATGTATAATTTTGCAAATATCAATGCAGACCTGTGGTTGTAAAGCTGTAAATCAAGTGCATATTTGGCAGAACCTTTAAAAATTTGCCTCAAAAGTGTCACTATATAATTCATTCAGTGGGATAAATTTGCACAGTGCTGGGCTCCCTCTGTGCAGGCTTAAGCTGGCAAGCAATGCACTTGAAAAGAGGGCATAACTCGTGGGTCTGCGTGTGTTACACATTCCCTTCTGTGCCAGAGCTACAGAGGAAAGGGTCTCTCACAGCTCTGAGCTACAGCGAGCCTGGCTATTCAGCTCAGCAGTAGTGACTCATACGAGTAAGTCTGGAGAAGTCCGGTTTCAACTGAAGTGTGTGCAAAGATAGCATGGGTCATACAAGCAGCATCAGGCCTTGCTGTCAGTACATGACAGGAATGGAAGGAGGATAATTAAAGCTACTGCCGGTGGGCAAAATAAATGTTTCCCCTAACATCAATGCAAGAGGCATAACACTGGGAACCTGATTCTGGGCTCACATATACTTTTAAATCCTGTAACTCTACTGAAGTCAAAGGAGTTAGTCCTGAAATGTACCGGTGAGAAGAATTAGAGCCCAAGAGTTGAGTTGTGCAACTAAAAAGTCAGCAGATGCCCTGAAAGTGGAAGCACAGTAAATGCCTGACAGCTAGTGTAACTGATCACACTAACGCATACAGGGTGATAGGTAACCCACTCTTCAAACATTACATGAGAAACACATCTTTTCAAAATGGAGGATTTTACCTTCAAACATGCACAGCTGCACACCAGATGAAAACATTAGCTATCTTGGACACACTTCTGTGATTTTATGGGAGTCTGTAGTCCAGTGTGGCTCATAACTTACTGTTCACTGAGGCCAACATTTTCAAACTTGTATATCCATATTTAGGATTTTGGTCTCCTAATTTTCTTACTCCAAATATAGGGGGAAATTGGCATCTCTAATACCAGTAGGTGGCAACTATTGGTGATGTATAAAATGGAGGCTCGATTGGATAAACCTAAAAATCTAGGTCATGCCTAGAACTGATCTCAAGATACATTATTTTCAGTCCCAGCATCTCATTCTCACCTCGACATGTTCTTCCATTTGCGGCCATTGTATATCCCTGCTCAGGGCAAGCACATTGGTAACTACCAGGAACATTCACACAGCGGAAAGTGCAAAGAATGCCTGCACTTTGGGTACACTCATCAATATCTGGAATGAAATGAACACAAAAGCATTAGAGACGTGACAGATGTAAATGAAGAGAAAATGGAACATAAGGAAATTCTGATGGCTCTGACATAGCTGATGTCTGGTATAATCTATCACCTTATCTATAATAGGTGTTGCTGAATAGGTGCCCAACTCGGAAAGTCTGATTTTGCTGTAGTGCTGTTCACATCGGTGCTGGGGCTTGATGTGTGGAGGGGTGGTGCAGCAGCACCCCATGGCTTGAAGGGAGTTCCATTATATCTAGGGTTTAGTTTGGTTCAATGGTTCTCAGCACCCTCACTTCACAAATTGTTCCAGCACCTCAGCTGTTCACAATGTTTTAGGAAGTGTTCAGCTGGAAGCTCCCCCCTGCTCTCCACTTATACATCTGAAAATTACTACTGTCTGACAGCTTAAAAGTAATGGAGAGCAACAATCAACTGAATAGATGTCTGAGTTTATGCTCCCCTGTGGCTTTCCAAATGTAGAATTCCCTAGAACAGTGGTTCCCAACGTATGGTCCATGGACCGTTGGGGGTCAGTGGTGGTACTGTAGGGGGTCTGCGAGGAGCCTCTCGTAGCCAGCATGTTTTTCAACCTGCATTGCTTCCTGTGGCTCGGGAAGCAGCGTGGGCTAAGGGATGTGCAGGCTGCAGGCACAGCTATATTGTTTGGAGGGGTCTGTAACGTGAATAGATTGAAAAGGGGTCTGTACCCTTGAAAAGGTTGGGAGCCACTGCCCTTGAACTTTTAGGGGAGCTTTCTCAGACTTTAATGGAAGGAGTGAAATGTTTGACTCCTCCATAATCAGAGACTATCTCCCAAGTATTTCTCAGGTATCAGAAAAGCAGGTGCTCAAACAAACCAAACAAAACCAAAAGGCTCAGTTCCTTCCTCCCCTCAGACAGCACAGAGCAAGCCAGAAAGCTGTCTTATACTTCTGGTGCAGTTCTGTCAGAGCAAGATGGGGGGAAGTCACCAAATTATGATGCACTCCGGTGATCGACAGTAGCGTAACAGCTCCAAGGAGACTGTTACTACCTGTGGAAGTCAGAGCAGGCCTTAAACTCAGCTATGGTACTGCAGAGATTCTCAAACTGGCCCAGGCCTCACACTGAAATGTAAGTACAATATTTATATTCCAGTCCATTTATTTTATAATTATATGGTGACAATGACAAAGTCAGCAATTTGTCAGTACTAGTGGGTGGTGACACTTCTGTATTTTAGGTCTGATTTTGTAAGCAAGTGGTGAGGTGAAACTTGGAGATATGCAGGCCAAATCAGACTCCTAAGAGTCAGATGACAGAGTTTCAGAAAAACAGCCTGACTAAAACCCCTTACCTGCTCAGACTCCAGTCTCTTGTCACTGGGAAGCAATAATCTTACTAGCTCTTCAGTCACACAGAGGTTTCTCCAGGAAAGCAAAGCTGTACATCTTGGGCCTTGTGAAGTCTGATTAGTACTGCTCTGCTGGCGCAAAGCACACTTAAATCTGGGCTAAGTGAGCAGTTGAATTTTCCCTTTGCACAAGAATTCTCCAATCGCTTACATACGTTAGTTTTGGCCTTATGCCACCCCCTTCTCTCAGCCCCCAGGACTGGAGGCGTGCCCAGTACACTGCTACACTCCAAAAATTGTCAGTGGCCGGAACAGCCCTTTTTGGCCACTACAGCAGGGCATAAAATTCAGAGCCTTAGGCACTCCCTGCCGTGTTCAAAGTATCCATCAAATGGCATGAACAGCATCCATACCTTTACATGCATGGCCGTCTTCTGCAAGCTGGTACCCTTGTCTGCAGTAACATTGATAGGAGCCATAGACATTGGCACATTCCTGACTACACGGAGTGCTGTCACATTCGTTCACATCTGTATCCAAAAATAAACAAATGTATTGCTACGCTGGAGAAGAACAATATCTAGTACAGTGTCCTGCCTCTGACAGCAGCTAGAATAGGATTCTTCAGAACATGCACCGTTATGTAATAATCTGCTCACAGGAGAAATATCTGTTCAGCTCTCTTTGCTAGTGATTGGCTTATATCTGAGGAATTATAGCCCTTCTGTAATAACATCAATATATAAGAGCTGGTGAAAAACACCAATTTCTGCAAAATAAATAAATACAAATAAGTCAAAGGACCAAAACCATTTTCAATGTTTTGTCATTGCACAAGTCTTGGTTTTAATCCATTTCAGTTTTAATTTAAATCTAAAGAAAAAGAGTTGAGATTTCATTTCTTTTGGTTTTTTTCCTTTCCTTTTAGTCCCTTTTTCTTCCCTGGAAAAGAGGGATTAAAAAAAAAACTTCTTATTTTGATTCAGTTTGATTTTTTTTGTTTTGATGAAAAATTGAAAAGTTTCAAATGATCCAAAAAATTGCGCAGGAAAATTTTTGGTTTTTTTGAAAAGCTATTTTACATTGAAGAAAAAAACTTTTAAATGAAAATTTCAATCAGCTCGAATAGATGCTATCTCCTATAACTGGAGCTGTCCACGTGCACTTGAATAACTCAGGAAGAGAAAATGAACAGCAATATGCCAAGCAGTGTTGGGAGGAATTTTTCAGATGAATGTTTTTTAAACCAAAGCAGATTTGGGTCAACCAAAACACTCAGCAAATTTGTGTCAAATTCACTGAATTGTTTCATCTTAAACCAAAAAACAACAAGAAATTGCAACAAAAAAAGACCACTCTTTTTCTATCTGCTGTTGTTTTTCAATGCTTGTGGGATTATTTATCTGCTAAGTGGACTTGTTAATAAATAGACTTGTGATAAATAGCAATTTCTTGTGTGCTTTTTGGATCCCTCTTTCCAATAACATTGACAACAGTCTTCCTGAGGCTGTAGCTATTCAGTGGACTGAACTTTCATTGGCCACTGCTGTCTACACAATTAATCAATAATCAATACACCAATCCATCAGTTCAACTACAAATCCCACAAAATTCTGAGCTTGACCTGAAGTGATTTTTGCTTCTTTACCTGCTAATAGACATGGCTTTACAAGAATTGATAGAATGGGGGAAAGACAAGAGAGAAAAAAGGTAAAGGCACAGGAAAGTGGTGCTTTATGTTGTCACCTTATAAAGGTTTTCCAGTATCTCATTTCTTATTTAGTAGAAATGACCTCCACCGCTTACCACACTTGATGACAGAGATATAACGGTGCTGGAAAAGCTTTACATACATATTGCAAGTTTAATAAATACAATAATGACATTGCAGTTTGAGAGCCTTCTAAGGCTGCTAGTAATGTGAAATTTTTGTGTTTACATAGCGTCAGAGCAGTGTTCCCTGTAAGATGTGCCCTTGTGCGGCTGACCAGGAGAGAACTGAATGCCACACACCTGATTACCAGAGTGCTCAGGTTTTTTATTTATATTGGTGGTGCACATTTGCACATATCTTGGTGCACATAAAATTATTCCACACTTGGAGGGAAAAAATCCTCACACGGATGGAAAAGATTAGAAGGAACATAGCCTGAGAGCATGTATAAATCATGGATTATTGTATCAAATGCCACCCAGACTTCCTCCCTTAACGTCCTTCTTCCCCCAATGGAAACTTTGTCTTAAAAGGAAAGAAAAGGAGTTTCGGTACCTTCACAGTGCTTCCCATCATAGGCCAAGCGGAATCCAGATGAGCAAGAGCAATGGTAGGACCCAGGAGTGTTCTCACAAGTGTGCTGACACAGTCGTCCTGGGTAATTCCAGCACTCATTTATATCTGTCGGCAAAACAGGCAAACAATGGGAAAATAAAGGATTCGAGAGAGACATGGCAGGATATTTTAAAGGTGTCAGAGACAGATCTCTACAGAGTGAAATGCTGCAACCTTGGTGTTTTATATTGTCTGGCTTTGTACTCTAAGTGGCATACAGTGATGATAGACTAGAAAAAGCTTTACTCCAGTGGATTTCTGCACAAAATGGTGAAGACTTTGCGAAACATCCATTTCTGCAGCAGAAAATATTTTACCCAGAAAAAAAAAGTACTGTGCAGATGACCTCAATCAATAACCTATCATGGAGTTAAATTGAGGAAATCTACTCCTTAAGAATACAGAGTGATGGTGAAGGCGTAAGCGGTTGGTCACAATGAACGAAGGTAGTTTGGGAAGCAATCTTATTACTTCTTCTGAGCAGAACTAATAACTACACACTGCACAACAGTGCTAAATACTGCCACGGCTCATCAATCAGTAGTTTCTGCTTGCTCTGTGCCTTACATACCAACACAGGCTCGGCTGAATGCATCATACTGATAGCCCATCTTGCAGTCACAGCGATAAGCTCCAGGTAGATTATGACAAATCTGTCCCTCTCCGCAGCGGTGTATGCCTGTCTGACATTCATCAACATCTACAGCATGAAAAAACATCCGTTAGTTTAAATACGGTGGGTGAAACTGGGGGGCATTCATTAAATGACAGCTTAAGAAATGCCATTCCACTGAGAGAAGTTTTGAGTAAAAGAATAAAAAAGTACAGAAACACTGCTAACTTTATTTTTCTTGTGTTGGGAAAAATAATCAATTTTTTCCACTCTGCTATTCTCAAAGGTGTCTTCATGTACAGCGGTGCTCCTCTAAATCAAACTTTGCAAAATAGTACATTGTTTGAAAAAGAAAACAATACTTGCAAGCACCATGAATACTTCCCAAGTTACCTCACATTTAGCTCTGAGCAAAATTGCTGGTTACTAAGCTCAACCCATGCCATTTAAGCCTCCTTATCAACAGCACTTTATAGGGACATTCTCCGATGTTGTAATATCAACATGGATTGATTTAACAAGTCACAGTGTTATAGCAGATCACTTAAAAAATAAGACCCAATTCAAACTTCTGCTAATCTCATGGTCCAAACTAAACCTAATTTCTGGTTCAAATAAATCCCCCACGTCTACTTGAATGTTTAATGCCAATTCATTCACTATATATGGCTCTTTTCCCAAACTGATCCTCTTCTCTGCTTTGACCCAAATCAATCCTTGAAATTTCCTACTTTCCATTTCCATCTGATCCAAAAGTCAACCCTGACTTTCCCAATTTACAGGTCATGAATCTCAGTCTCTCCCCTGCTCCTGTTCCATTGTCAGATGAAGATAAGAGTATATTTGATACAGGCTGGTAGGATCCACAATGCAATAAAGATGTCGCCATATCAAACAAACACCTGTTTGTTCTTCTCTGTGATGGACAAGAGCCAGCACTTTCGTTTGGATAACACTCCATGTTAAGAGTTTACTGAGTATCTGAACCTTTTGAATTCTTCCTCTTCCCATCCCACCAGATTCTTCCCCATCCTCCATATCCACATCTTCAGTTTCCCTGACATCCTAACTTCCTATCCCCAATTAGCAAGAGGGCTGGCTTTGTTTAACATTATTTGGGAGGGCAGCCTAAGATCTGAGATTCTCTGCTGTGCTCTGGGTGGCTATTCTATGCAAATTCATATATTCTGGGGACTACTCCTAAGGCTGCCAAGAATGGATGGTCCCGCTCCACCCAGCTCTATAAAATTTGGAGATAGTAAATCTGTTCAGGAAAAAAACAGACGTTTGCTGAGCCTGTGCATGGGTGTTGTCTGTAGTAGTCCTGCTGGGAGCCTGAGGCACACAAGAGTTACCTATACAAACCTCAAATTGTTCTTATTTAGCACAGAGTCACACATTTCTAATGTCTACCAGCATTAGACCTGCAGAAAAACCCATCCAGCAAAGACTTCCTTGTAAGGGGAAAGATTTCTACTGAAACGCGTTCTCTGACCTTTCTGATCAGAGCAAGCATTAGGAAAAGGGAGTTGATAAAACAGATTGAAATCAGCAAATTTGCAATTTTATTTGCAATGAATTAATTTGTGCCATTACTCCATTCGTTTGTGAGAAACTGTCTATTCCAACATATAAATTCCTTCTCTTAATCAGGTCTAGGACTTTATTCAGTCTGAGGGTATGTCTACACTACAGAGGTTTTTTTTTTTGGAAAAACAGCCGTTTTTCAAAAAAAACCTTCACTTATGTCCACACTGCAATCACGGTCTTCCAAAAGAAAATCGAAAGAACAGAGGAGTTTTTCCGACATTGGTAATCCTCATTCTACGAGGAAGAAGCCTTTTTGCAAAACAGTTCTTTCGGGAAAAGGTGTGTGTGGATGGGGAAGAGGGAATTTTTTCGAAAGAAGAGGAAAAGAGGAAAAAGCTCAGGTGCCCTGGTGGCCACTCCATCCATAGTAATCTCAGCTTAAATGTGAGATAGCGTCCATTCAGCATGGACGCTATCTTTCAAAAAAACAGATTGCTTTTTCAATGCGCTTTTGTTGTGTAGACACTGTCTTTTGGAAGACTTTTTTTGGAAGATCGCTTCTGGAAAAGCTTCCTCCGAAAGAAGCCTGCAGTCTAGACATAGCCTATATGGAGGAAGACGACCACACAAGCTCTGTTCTGCTGCTGAAGGATATCCAGATGATCTATTTCTATTGCTATGAGTTAATCTGAAGTCCAATTAACCATCACAATACCCTAAAGAAATAGATTTTATCATACAAAGGAGAAATTAGAACCACATGGTTTTCTTTTTTCTTCTGAATACTATATCCTTATGTAAAAGAACCCTACTAAAACATTTAGACTGAAAACAGAGGCACAGCTCGCTCAGCCGGAGGCACAGAGCTTGCATGTGGCATAGGTCATATTAACATTAAACATTTCTTTCCCCAAACCAAACAGAAACGCAGATTCCTACACTCTCTAGATGTGGCAAACTACCATATGAATTTTCTTGTACCTGGACCGAAAAACCGCGTCAATCATTTAAATTAAAAATGTGGAGTAACATCTGTAATTATATTATCTCATCCCTGTAACCACACAGCCCAGCTATGTATGAGTAATGTTTTTTCTCAAAAAAGAAAAAGAAAAACTGGGCCCATTTTTTCTTAGGCCAGCAACATGGGAACTCAAAATATAGAGAAGCACTAGCCATCACAAGTCAATTCTGACACTGCTTAGAAAACAAAGGCCTAATGCTGGGACTTTGGAGCTGCCTGCCAAAGACTATCACCTTGTAGGAAAATGGCCGGTTGTTCTAGTGGAGGGCATGAAAAGTCTGGGTCCTGTTTTGATACTAGTTTGAAAGTCCCAAAACCAGCTGTACGGCCAGACCCTCAGCTGGTATAAGCTGAAACAGTTGTGTTGACCTCAGTGAAGTAACACTGATTTATACCAGCTAAGGATCCATCCTGAAATGTAGCTGCTTTCCATCATGAGCGTCAGGAGCATTTCCTTTTCTCTTCATGTCCATGGAGGTACCTCCCTGCTTGCTCACTGATAAGAAAGATAAGTGCATCTCTTGATCGAGATAAATCAACTCCCTCCCTCCCCCTTTATAATCATACCAGCCAGTTTTCTTAACCTTCTCATCCTCTAGTTATTTTCAATCCTCCCAGTCAGAGCCAAAACTTGCCCATCTCCCTTCCAGGAGGAGTCAGAGATCTGTGTCGCTCTGGGGATAGCAGCGTAGAAGTGAGAAACACGGTAATGCAGGACAACGTGAAGTGCCGTAGGCGGTCAGCCCATCTGACAGGTGTCCTGCACCCAGACCACTGCTCTCTGTTATGGGCCTTTTTCTTTTTAGCGTCTTTATCTTTTATGGCAGGGGTCACCAACCACTCGATCGGGATCTACTGGTAGATTTTGGAGCCTCTGACAGGTGATCCTGACTGGTTTGGCCAAGAGGCTGTCAATCAAGTGCTGGCTCTTCAGAAGCCCCTCCCTGGACTGCTGCACATCTCCTGCCCTCTGCCTTGGAGCTGTCCCCTCAGGAGCCTCCCGCTTGCTGTGCAGGGGAAGGAGAGGAGCTGATGTGAAGCTGCCCCTCTCCCACCCTGTATCCTATCTCCACAGAGCAGAGAGGGGGCACAACCGAATGTGGGATGGAGTTTGCTGGCTGTTTTTGGGAGTGGTGCAGGGCCTGGACAGAGGTGAGCCTGCCTTAGCCCCACCACCCAGGAGCCACCTGAGGTAAGCAGGGCCCAGCTGGAGCCCACATCCTGAACCCCTACCCAAGCCATGAACCCCCTCCTGCACCCCAAGCCACCATCCTAGCCCCAAGCACCCCTGCATCCAAACGCCCTCCCAGAACCTGCACCTAGAACCCTGCTGGCACCTCCAACTGCCTGCCCCAAGCTCAGCTCAGAGCCCCTTTCTCACTTCAAATCCCTTAATCCAAAACCACAGCCTGCCCCTCAACCCACTGCGTCAGCCTGGGGAAAGTGAGGGAGAATGGGGGAGAAATGCAGGATGGAGGGAGCAGGGGCAGAGCCTCAGAGAAGGGGTGCAAAGGAGGCAGGGCAGGGGTATTTGAGTTTGAGATAGATCTTGGATTGCACTTAAATTAAAAAAGTGATCTTGTGCTTAAAAAGGTTGGAGACCCCTGTTTTATGTGTATGAAACATTTAGCTATGAGCAAAGTCAGAAAATAAATAAATGAGACTTTATTCTTTCCATCCTGCCCCTAACTTCACAGAAAGGCTGATTTTGTTCATTTCACATTCTCTGGTCACTGAAAGATCAATGGTGGATATTTGTAATATCGGTCATGAAACAGCATTCAGATGGTTTGTTTCTTTCCAAACACAGTTTCCTATTTTCTACATTTACAAAATACATTTAATTCCAAAAGACACAGAGGCACTCTTGTTTGGACTCTGTAGGCCCGTCATTGTTCTCTTGCATCTCATGTAGTCATTTACACCAAGAAAAAGGTGTAAGAGCCTACAAATCAGACTGGATAACACTGTAGGCCCATTTTGTGCTACTGAAAATGATTGCCAAAGGTACAGTACCACAGAGAACCTGGCCCTGAGGATATGTGCAGTTTTTTAAACAAATAGATCAGCACTTGGACTTATTCTGAGAATCTGGACAACAGAAAAATATCTAGGAATTTCATTTACACTGCTGTCAAGTCCATGCACCCATTTATCGCTTCTGATGAATGCAGTGTTTCTTCTCTGGGGTATGTTATTACCCCAGACCATATCAGTCCACAGTGAGATACCGTAAAATGACACAGCGTGAATGTTTTGATTGTCAGGCTGGGACTAACCATTAAATCACACAGAATCCAGAATAAAGTTAGGAGGCAACAGGATGCAGCCAAAAACAAGCTCACTCAAGGTCACAAACAGGAAGTACCTGCAATATTCAGGCATGAACATAATCTAATATAACATAGTAAATACCGCCCAACAGACCATTCAGACCGCATCATCAAGATAGGCTTTCAACTCCTCAGCTCCTGGAACGCAGCTGAAGGTTTTTCTAAAACTATTTTGGAACCAAAATGAGCTTTTCCCTCTAATAACCCAATTGCAGACATGAATCTGATCCTTACCAACACATCGGGATCCATCCTCATTGGAGTGATACCCTCTGCTGCACATCAGCAGGTTTCTCTGACAAGTGTAGGATCCAACAGTATTGATGCAGTTGAAGCCAGGCTTGCATGGCTCAGGAAGTGAGGTGCATTCATTAATATCTAGGATTGAGAAAGCGCATTAGTATTAGCTATTCAAGGAATTTGCTGCTTTCTATTCCAGATGTCACTTTTTTTCCTTCGCTTTGATTTTGATTTATTATGTAATCTAGGTAGGGGCTGATGAAACTTTGTTATGCCTGCATATTAAAACCTGACAGTATGCAAAGCCAATATAGAACATTTTAGAAAGAGCAGCAACATTTGGACCAAATTCATTGAAAATTTAAGGACCATTTAACATGATCAATGTTCAGCCACTGAACAAGGTAACAATATCAGGAAACTGATCAGCACAACTGAACATATTAGAAATGTATTGCTGTAATCACACTTACCGACACAATTACCCTCTGGGTCTTGTAAAAATCCTTCCATGCATCTCTGCTTGGATTCACAATAGAATGATCCTTTTGTATTCTGACATACAAAGTTTACTTTACAGCTATGAGTTCCTCTTACACATTCATCAATGTCTATTAATAAAAACAAAGAAACATTATGTAATTAATTCTGCCATATTTGTTTCTAATCCTGTTAAATAATTTGTAACCCATTTCCTTTTTTTCAGAAATGGGCTATGAAGTATCTGATTTTCAAAAGGCCTCTGAAAAGGCCCATGGAAAAATTGGTGAGTACAGTTTGGTGTTCCTGCACATAGGGGGTGTGTCTAAACTACATGGCTCCATTGATGAAGCCATGTAGATTAGGCTGATCGGCAAAGGGAAATGAAGCCGCGATTTAAATAATCTTGGCTTCATTTAAATTTAAATGGCTGCCGCGCTGAGCCGACAAAACAGCTGATCAGCCGTTTGTCGGCTCAGCACGCTAGTCTGGATGCTCCCGCGCCGACCTGAAAGCCCTTTATCGACCTCCCTGTTATGCCTCGTAGGATGAGGTTTACTGGGGAGATCGATAAAGGGCTTTCATGTCGGCAGGGGAGCGTCCAGACTGCCTCAATCTGCCGACAAACAGCTGATCGGCAGAGCAGGGCAGCCATTTAAATTTAAATGAAGCCATGATTATTTAAATCACGGCTTCGTTTCCCTTTGCCGAACAAACAAATCTACATGGCTCCGTCGACAGAGCCATTTAGTCTAGATGTACCCAGCAATGAGATCCATGCAGGTTGGCCCCAGGACCTCCCCAGAGTCCCATTGAAGTCACCACTGTAGAACGTATTGCAGATCAGGATAGAATCATAAGATTGAAGGAGACCTCAGGAGGTATCAAGTCTAACCCCCTGCCCAAAGCAGGACCAATCCCAAATAAATCATCCCAGCCAGGGCTTTGTCAAACCAGGATGCAAAAAACTCTAGGGATGGAGTTTCCGCCACCTCCCTAGGTAACCCATTCCAGTGCTTCATCACCCTCCTGATATCCTAATAGTTTTTCCTGATATCAAACCTTGACCTCCCCCATTGCAAATTAAAACCATTGTTCCTCATTCTGTCATCTGTCACTACTGAGAACAGCCCCTCTCTTTGTAACCCCCCTTCATGTAGTTGAAGGCTGCTATTAAATCCCCCCTCAATCTTCTCTTCTGTAGACTAAATAAGCCCAAATCCCTCAACCTCTCCTTCTAAGTCATGTGCTCTAGCCCCTTGATCATTTTTGTTGCTCTTTGCTGGACTCTCTCCAATCCAATCTAACCCAACCCACATCCTTTCTTTAATGGGGTTCAAGAACTAGACACAATACTCTAGATGTGGCCTCACCAGTGATGAATAAAGAAGAATAATCACTTCTCTAGATCTGCTGGCAATGCTCCTCGTAATGCACCCTAATATGCCGTTAACTTTCTTGACTACAAGGGCACACTGTTGACTCATATGCAGCTTCTCATCCACTGTCATCCCTCAGTCTTTTTCTGCTGAACTGCTGCTTAGCCCGTTGGTCCCCAGCCTATAACAGTGCTTGGGACTGTTCTGTCTCAAGTGCAGGACTCTGCTCTCACCCTTGTTGAACCTCATCAGATTTCTTTTGGCCCAATCCTCCAATTTGTATAAGAGACTCACAGAAACACTGATGTAATATGTGTTTTGTGTGGACTATTTGCTCTTTTTTTCCCCAAAGCAAGATGGACATACCGCTTCTTACAGAATAAAAAAATAGCTAAAATCTTGTGAAGACACTTGTGAAGTCTGTGGCAAAACTCCCATTGACTTCGTTCACAGGATTGCTGTGTGTGTTTCTGAGAACTGTACAAATATGAATTAGCCAATAATTTATTGATGGCCTTTTGAAGTCTATGAGCAGCTAACAATTTTCTCCAATTTATTTATTACATGACATTTGACAAATAGTTTCCACATTTAACTCCTGATCTGTTTATTAGCAGTTTATTGTCAGATTTCAGTGTTCAAAATTGAAGCTGCTTTAGTCAGTTTTGACTGGATAGATAAAGTGGCATTGTTTTACATCTCTGACTGGATGACTGTAATCCTGAGAAACAGATTTCTGGTGCAAATACTCACATTTGCAAGTTTAAAAGTCATTTTTGGTGAGTAGTTTCTAGTAACAGCTTATACTTTGGTCTTTCTGTGAACACTCCTGCTGGTAAACTCCTTTGCTAGACTATTGCAAGGCAAGCAAATAAATAAATAAATAAACCCACCACCAACAACAAAAAACAAAAAATCCATGTGTTAGGTAGGAGAAAGCTTTCAAAACCTTTGGAAGCATTCCCTCAGCTGGAAGTATCAGCAAGAGACATATATTAAAGTTGTTTGCAGTGTTGTTGTAGCTGTGTTTATGCCAGGATATGAGCCCTCCAAGGTGGGTGAGGCAATATCTTTTATTGAACCACCTTTTATTGGCGTAAGGTACAAGCTTTCAAATGACACAGTGCCCTTCTTCAAGGCCTTCCCCAGACCTAAAGAAGGGCTCTTTGTGGCTAGAAATTTCATAGATTACATCTACACAGGCTGGTTCAATAAAAAGCATTACAATTCTACTTTGTCTATCTCAATTTTTAAAGTTGTCCATTGGCCAGAAGCTACTATCTTGTAAGGCTTTCTACCAAGGAAAGCTGAAGTATCAAAAAATAAGAGAGTTGGTTATCTAATAGCATAAAATTAACTGCAAAGAAAAGTAGTTGTTCATTCCTTCTTACAGCCATGCTGGAACGCTTACCCAGAGGGGGACACATTAATTTAAGGGCCACTTAAAAACCCGCGTTATACATTTTACAAACCATTAAGAAGTCTTATAAGTAAACATTAACTAATTTATAAAGCTAATAAATGTTTTATAAATCATATAGGACCAAACTGTAGAACTAAGGGTCCCTCAAGATGAGGAAGGACTCCACAGTCTAAGCCCTTAAGTTTTTGCAGACATGGTATCATATGCTGCCTATAGTTAAATATCTGATTTACTTAGAGTGTAGGAATTCTAGTTACTACAGGTTAAAATTCTCTAAACTGGGACTGTCTGGTCTGGCAACATTTGTGGTCTGGAACGGATGTTGCAGGTACCACAGAATCCCGGTGGAGGGCCAGCAGCAGAGACCCCTGTGGGGATGGCAGAGCACCTGGCTGCCAGCAAGCAAGCTGATGGTGGGGCTGCCCAGCAGGGCGGGGAGCCGTGGGAGCAGTGACCTGCAACAGATGTGGCAGTGGCCCAGCAGGGGAGGAAGCTGTAGCAGCTGTGCTGGTGGCCCAGTGGGGGAAGGAGCTGTGGCTGCAGCTACCCAGCAGGGCCTGGAGCCCCAGTGCAGCTGTCCAGGAGCGATGGCTGCTCAGTAGGGCTGGCAGAGCAGTGGGGATGAAGAGCTGCTCCCCCTCCCCCCAAAACCCAACCAACGCCGAATACAGCCAGAGTCAGAGGCTGTATTGAGACAGGAATAGCTACATTGAATCAGATTCATGCTCCATCCAGTCCAGGATCCAGTCTCTGACCGTGACCAGCACCAGGTACATAAGGGGAAGGAGCTGGGACCCCACAGAAGGCAGCAGTGGGATTATCTTTCCCCAGTCTTATCTTGACCTCTGTTAGTTAGAGGCTGGTTTAAACTTTAATCCCTTTCATCGTTTTATCAAGTCTTCACTTAGTGGCTGCGTCTAGACTGGCATGATTTTGCGGAAATACTTTTAATGGAAAAGTTTTTCCGTTAAAAGTATTTCCGCAAAAGAGCGTCTAGATTGGCACGGATGCTTTTGTACAAAAAGTGCTTTTGCTCAAAAGCATCCGTGGCCAGTCTAGATGCGATTTTGCGCAAGAAAGCCCCGATCGCCATGTTAGCCATTGGGGCTTTTTTGCGCAAAACAGTTCTTCCCTGTCTACACTGGCCCTCTTGTGCAAGTATTCTTGCACAAGAGGGCTTTTTCCCAAGCGGGAGCATGAAAGTATTTGCACAAGACGCACTGATTTTGTACATTACAAAGTCAGTGCTCTTGCACAAATTCAAGCAGCCAGTGTAGACAGCTGGCAAGTTTTTACGCAAAAGTGACTGCTTTTGTGCAAAATCTTGCCAGTCTAGACGCACCCATTAAGTTTCCCCTGGAGCTCCTTGAATGCCGGGACTGATCTTCTTGGGAGATGCCAGCTGGGGGCAGCTGTCATCTGAGAAGTCCCTAATAATCTGGTGCTATTGGAGAGCCACAAGGGACTAGGAGTTAGTGCAGAGGCACAGAGCCACAGTGATGCATCTCAGGGGATCTGTAAGGTGTAGTGTGACCATCTATGACTTTGGAGTGTATGAAACTTGCCCTGCTCCACTCTCACCCCCAGAAACATTCCCCTTCCCATGTTTCCCTTCCCATCCCCCTCCCAGAGGTTTTCCTGTGGGAGGATACAACAAGCACTCCAGGCGATAGGGCAATCCAGAAATATTTCCATTATAAACCGTGGGGTGAACCCAAGAACAGAAGTTTAAAAAAACCAAAAGCTTTGTGGCAAATTGGCTTTAGCCGCCTTTTAGGCATAAAAAAATGTTTTTGTGGTGACCTCTGTTTTTCCTCTCATTTATTTAATAACAAGCAGCACCAATAAAAATTATGTATAACCCTCTTTTCTCTCCCCCTTTGAAATAATTACAACTAATTAGCAATTTGCAAAAGATCAGCAGATGCCAAAACAAAAAAAATACCAGGCAGATTCTGATAACCTCACTCAGGGGTCCACTCATGGAGCATTGGTCGTACGTGAGAAGAGTTTAATCGCAGACTAAATGAAAGACTGTAAAGTGCTTGTCTTACCAATACATTCACCATCCTTAAATTCATAGCCTGGCTGACAGCTGAGTTCTTGGAGACAGGTAAATGATCCAACTGTGTTAATACAGTGTTCTCCTCGCTTACAGGTGTGGGCTTCTGTTACACATTCATTAATATCTGCAAAAAGAAGTAGTTCAGAGTCTCATAGCTGCCAAGCAATCTGCCTCTTGCTGCTCTCTTCAGGAATGAGTCAAAGGCTCATTTTAAACCTTTTCTTCCAAAAGAAAGTTTATGTAGCACTGTGCTTTACTATTTTGACTGAAGACATTTTATGTTAGGGTTTTCTGTTGATATAGAACAGCTCAAGAGAACTATAGCTTAGACTTTTTTTATTTCCCTTTTGAATGCTCAGTGAGTGATAGGGATAGAACTGATTAGATAACAAAACCAGCAGAGATTTGATAATGAACATCACATTTAATGGCTTGAAACCCCTGCCTGAGAGAACGAGAAAGTGATTTAGACTTGCAGCTCATAAAAGGCTTTTCACAGCTCAGCTTATCAGTCCTACCGCTTTATGCCAAATACACCAGAGCAGCACGCACGAATTGTAGCAAGGACTGTGTTTTGAGATTATTCACATTGCTAAGGAGTTACATTCAATAGAGAATATCCCAAATGAAGCTGAACACTTTTAAAAAACAATAGTCCTGTGAAAATATGAGGCAGGGAAGAAGAAAGGAGGGGGAGAATCTGAAAGGCTGAAATAAAGCTTTTAAAATTTAATTTCAAGTGATCCATCTTCATGTGGGTGGACAGGGGGCGGAATACAAACAATAAAATTTCATGTTTTTGCTTAAATGTTGGATCATTTCAAGTGGAAAAGGTATCATTTTGAAAAGAAAAATGCAATCTCTAAACAGATAAATGTTAACTTTTTAAAAATGGAAATCAATTCAGACTGAAAAACATACATTTTGATTTGTGCATATGCTAAAGGTGAAAATCAGAAATGTAATGAAAAAAAATCCTAAGTAACAAAATGGAATGGAAAGACAAAGGAAGAAAATCTTCATGCAAATTTCCCCAAGACGTTAAACTTTCACACCGTTCTAGTTAAAATGATGATGTCAATTAAAAGCTGCATGGAAGAGGAATATGAGCAATCAACTACAGTCATCACCAAGCTTCTCCGCCCAAAGTTATTTTCACAGCATGCAACAGAACTAGTCCTATGTTAATGAAGCCTCAAAAGTCCAGGTGGTTCCCAGAAATGTACAACCTGAGTTGCATTGTCACATGGAAAAGCTGCAAAACGAGAGCAGATATGTTAAAAGCTTAATCTCACAAGATTGGGGTAAAGCTGATTTTTCTGCTCACAACGAGAGGTCCGCAGACAAAAATTTTAGACACCAATCTCGCATGCAGCTCTTTGTAGCTTTTGACCTGTGAGTAACCCCAGTGGAAATGTTCCTGTGAAAAAGTTAGCCACATGTGCAAATTTGTGCAAGATCAGGGCCATAGTTTCACTTGAGTTTGTTTATTTCTTATCTTTCTATTTGTTATTCTTTGCCTGTTTCATGCTGACTTCCCAAAGTGAAGAAATCAGTCACTAACAATGCATCTATAGCAGGGGAACGGACAGCATGTGTGAGCCAATGCGCAAGGCGTGTGTGTGTGGGCGGGGGGGGGAGGGGGGCTCAGCTCCATGCCCCCAGAAGGGATGGGCCTTAGGCAGAAGGGGTGGGCCTTGGGCAGAAGGGGTGGAACCAGGAGCAACCAGTCCTATGCGCCACCTGGAGAGCGGTGGATCCCCCCACCCTCCTCAGAAACACACCGAGCACGTGGCAGTGCTCCAGCGGCAAATTAAAGGGCCCAGGGTTTCAGCTGCCACCACTCCCATTCCCAGCTTTTGGCAAACAGAGGCTACAGACATCATTCCTGTCCATCCTGGCTAATGGACATTGATGGACCTATACTCCACGTACTTATCTAGTTCTTTTTTCAACCTTATTATAGTCCTGACCTTCTCAACATCCTCTGACAAGGACTTCCATGGGTTGGCTGTGTGTTGTGTGAAGAAATACTTCCTTTTCTTTGTTTTAAACCTGCTGCCTATTAATTTCATTTGGTGAGCCCTAGTTCTTGTGTTATGAGAAGGAATAGCACTTCCTTATATACTTTCTTTAAAACAGTCATGATTTTATAAAAACTACAAGTCCTGTGATACCTTAGGGTACATCTACACTGCACGGTTATTTCAGGATACCCCGCGTCTACACAAGCCGTCCATTATTTTGAAATAACGGGAGCGCTATTTCGGCATCCCGGTAACCCTCGTTCCACGAAAGTTAAGGGATGTCTCGGAACAGCACGTTATTTCAAAATCTGGTGCTGAGTAGACACGCCAAATTTCAAAATAAGCTATTTTGAAATAAAATACGCAATTTCTTATTTCAAGTTTAGGGTACTGTGGCACCCTTAGGCTAAGTCTAAACTGCAAGCCTCTTTTGAAAGATACTTTTGAAAAAGCCTCTTTTGAAAAAGAGCGTCTAGTCTACAACCAGTACTTCAAAAAAGCAAACTGCTTTTTCGAAAGAGAGCACCCAGGAAGTCTCGATGCTCTGTTCCGAAAAAGCACAGTTTGCATTACATAGCGCCTTTTTTCAAAAGAGCACTTTCGAAAAAAGGTATTCTTCCTCATAAAACGAGGTTTTCCACGGTCGAAATAACTGCCACGTTCTTTTGATTTACTTTAGAAAGAAAGCAGTAGCAGTCTAGAAACAGGGGAAGTTTTTTTTCGAAAAAAGGCCACTTTTTTCAAAAAAACCCTGTAGTCTAGACACACCCTTAGAGACTAACAGATTTATTGAGACATAAGCTCTAAGATGCCACAGGACTGCTCTTTGTTTTTGCAGATACAGACTAACAAGGTTACCCTTCAATGATTTTATAGACTTCTATCATATCCCCCCCTTAGACATCCTTTTTCCAAACTGAAAAGTCTGAGTCTTTTTAAACTCCACTCACACAGAAGCTGTTCCATACCCCTAATCATTTTTATCATTTCTGAACCTTTTCCCATTCCAATATATCTTTGAGATAGAAAGACCGCATCTGCATGGTCTCAAGATTTGGGTGTAGCATGGTTTATACAGAGACAATATGACACTTTCTGTCTTCTTATCTATCCCTTTCTTAATGCTTCCCAATGTTCTGTTTGTTTTTTTGACGGCCACTGCATACTGAGTGGATGTTTCCACAGAACTACCCAAAATGACTCCAAATCGCTTTCTGGAGTGGTAAAAAAATTTAAACCCCATCATTCTATATGAATTATGTTTTCCAATGTACAACTTCACTGACTTAGCTTGCTACAGTGTCTCTGAGACAAAGAAAACATTCCATATGTTCACATTACATGATATCTGACTGTATCATGGGAACCTAGCTCTGTACACATTGTTAAAAGTCAAAAATGTCAGCATGACAGGCGAACAATGTTTGTCTGAAACATTCCACACTGTTAAAGGGTGTCAGTCCTATAAGGAAAGGGATAGGTGAGTTCTGCCAAAAAAAATGGTCTGCAAAATATTATTTCTCCCCTACATGCCATTTTTGAACAAATTACTTTTTTTCCCCCCCAAAAAAATTCCTCAGCCCTCAACAATTAAGTGGAGCTCACTGGAATATTGTCAATTAAATGAAAGTTTGTTGAAGCCAAAACATTTCGCAGAAATGTTTTGGTTTTCACCAAGTCTGCATCAAAAATAGTTTGCTAAAGATACTTATGCTTTATAGTCTGGTGATTAGGGCCCTAGCTTGGGATGTGAGGAGACCTAGGAACAAGTCCCTGCTCTGCCTGAATCAGCATCATCTGGCACTGAATTTGGCAATGCAGAGTCTTGACCTGGATTCCCACATCCTAAGCCAGTGCCTAACTGCCAGGGTATAGGGGACCCCCAACATTCCGAAAATTCGGTACTTGCAAAGATGTTTATAATGTTGGGGTTTGTTTCAATGTAGAAAGAAAAACCACTTCAAAACCTCAAAAGTGGCCAAACGTGAAATTCCCATTGGCCAGTCTGCTCCACCATCAAGTTCCTGTCTGTTCATCTCCCTGGAATAGGAACGGGAGGAATCCAGCACCACCAGGATTAGCCCCCTTCTCCCCTCCCTCCCAATGGATAATTGCTACTGATACTATGTGCAGTTACAGAAAAATGCAGAACGGGAAAGAGGAAGGGATGGTGATGGGCAAAAGTCTGTTTGTTGCCTCTGGATCCTGAGACCAATTTGCACAGGCCCATAATGCTGGTACAAACGACAGAACAGGCCACAGAACTGGACTAATTTACACCCAGAATTTGCATGGTCAATCTGGCATTTTGGGATTGCTGTGGCACAGGTATGTCCTGACTATGCACCTGCCCTGCTATTCCTGCAGACTTGTCCTCTGACATCAGGGCTAGCAAGGGAGCTGTTATCATGCTTCTGTACTACCCAAAGATTCACTTACACTGGAGGAATCCTCCAAGGGTTGATGAAACCAGTGTTAACACTGCTTGATGCTAGCAGAATGATGCACAGCTGCTGGAGTAGGAATGAAGATTTTGTCCATTATATTTTTTAGAATCTCTCTTTTTTTTATTATGGATTGTTCATAAAATTAAGAGTGGTTGATAACTTTGTTCTCCTGGGTATTCTGAGAACCAGTTGTCACATCTGAATGATGCTTGACCTCACACAAGAAAATCTGACTCAGGTTT